TGGGGTTCATTTTCTCATTTTAAGTGTATACTCCTTTTGTTGTTATTGTAATTCTTTCGTTGTTTTTCCTTGTCATTTTGGATAACTGGAGGAACAATGCATGATGTCTACTAGTTTTAGTCACAAAAAAACCTTTTTAACTGAAATTTCTGATCTTTTGAAAATTCTTTCAAGTTAATAGATGTTTGAGGGTCTAATTTACTAGACAGTTATAAAGCTGTGGGGTGTTTGCAATATTGAAAAAATAACGGGTGCTTTCGGTAATGTATTTTTGTTGCGCAGTTAGTAGTGTATAAGAACTTATAAGGGTTCACAAATAACCAATTAAACATTGAGCTTTTAACCATATATTGCAGTGTGATATTCATGCATCTTTCTTGAAAATGTAAAATGGATATAGTTGGAATTTGAGAAATAAATGAATTAGATCTCTCATCCCATTACATATTGTCTTCAATTTTATTATTCACCAACCAATAGATTTTAATTTTTGGTTCTTTAAATTGAACCTCACTGTTTTTTAGCAACTAATCTTGATTGTTGTAATTTGTAAACCAAGATTGAATAAAATGTAACTTACCATAACGGATCAATTTTAAAAAGTGTGCAATACAATAAACCAATTTTGTCAAATCACAATTTGAAATTATATTTGTAATAACATTATACAGACAGGGCTGATTTTATTAAGATTATGTTAATCAAATTAAACAAAACACAGCGCGTATTAAAAATCAGAATTTGAGATGACCTTATTGTGTTAATATATGTTTCCACGTTAATCCCATTTCTTAACCAAATGAATGGAAAGCATTTGTGGAGTGTTGACCAGCTCTTGAACACAGTCAATGCTGACGTGTCCTCTCCAACGTACATATATATACGTGGAGTGAGCAGACGAGTTTTCAAGCAGCTGTTCTCCATTTGTTCTTTCCGCACATTACTGTCAATTTCAAGATTATCTCATCGCAGGTTTAGCTCAAAGTTGTAATAAATGGGACAATATTTGGATTTGTTATTGTGTTTATGTTTCGATTTTCCAGCCATTTTAATTTCTTTGTTTAATTTCTCGAATCGTGACGTTTATCGCTCTGAAAAAAGGATCTTTGATTTGGGGAAGGAAAAACAGAGAAATCTGATAAGATTTGTATGATTTTTTTTCCTCATGTTTTTTCAGGTTCTTTATGAAAAATTGAAAACCCTCCATGAATTTGGCGTAAAGGTTGGTTATTTTTTTTTATTGTGTTTATTTTTTATTTTTTTTCTCCCATCCCTTTTTGGTCTGCGTTAGGGTTAGATACATTTTGTTTGTCTCAGTTTCATTTGTTTTGCTAAAACTCTGCTGTAAGGAAATTCCTGCAGCTTGTTTGCTATCGCAAGATTTCATGGCAATTATGTATTATTTTGGTTTTTTGAAAATGAATTCTGCTTAGGCTTAAAAATCAATTTTTTATTGACTCTGATATTCTCCATATGCTTTGTAAAAAGGAGAAGGAAAAAGGAAACAGGAAAAAAAAATAAAAAAATCCTTGATATCCTCTCTTGATATAGTTTAGTTTGGCAGGGTACTGTGAAATGGAGGGTGGCATAGATTTTGTTACTGTCTTCAATGTTGATATAACATCAAGCATCCTCGAACTTTTGAGCGATCCGTGTGATCTCCTAAGGGCAAGTGTGGTTTCGCGAGCTTGGCACCATTTCTGTGAGCTGATTTATCGACTTTAATTCGCTTGTGTTCTTGCATGCCTGCTTTTGACTTCTCTTGTTGAAGTTAATAAATCAATTGCTTGATTTATGTTATGCCATGCCATGCCATGTATACGAATAAGGGAAAAATTTGTTCTGTCACATGGTTTGCTCTAGTTTAGTTACATGTGATCAGCTGCCATTTTTTTTTCCTTTATCATAAAAGTTCACATGTCTCGATTCTTGATTTCATGCGTTATATGTATTCAGTTTGCTGCCCGTGGGGGATTGTGGCCGTAGACAGAGACTGAAGCATTGCAATGATTTCATTTTAATGTTTCATGTCAAGTTTCAAATTATTGTATTGTGCTAGAAATTTTTGAGCATTAAATGTTGGAAAAAGTGTCAGCGCATCCCGTTCATCATCTTCTTGGGAAACATGATGAAGGAGATAGATTGGTTTTTACGAAATTTGTGAAAGCATGCATGCAATAACTAATCATGAAAAGCACGAGCAAAGGAATTGATTTCTTGATCCCTCAAATCCCTTGATTCGTTGAGAATTTTGATTTTTCTAGATTTATCCACGTGTCGACATTAATATGCACAGCAGATGCAGTTTTGGCTTATTTGACCATCAATTCGAATCTTGTCGTTGATCGAACCTTTTTTTATTTCCAAATTTATTTGGCATATAAACCTTATTACATTCAGACATTCTGGAATTCGTTTATCTTCTTTCTCTTTTCTTTTGTCCGTCTGCCATTTTTTACCAACTTATATGCACATTGAATGTCTTAATAAACTGAACTGAACCCCTCTAGGATTTACTTTTACGGTTTAATTTGAAAAATTTTCTTTCATGCGCAACAAATATATCATTTTCTTCTCTTTTTGCCAGTGATTGCAAATGGCCTTTGCAAGAAGTTGTGGTTGAGAAAGGTTCCTCAAGTCACTTACATCGCCTATTCAGTCAAAAAAATCGACGGCAAAAATAAACTAGTTAACATTGCATCTAAAAACACCGTCAACTGGAGTTCTTCTATTGGGAAGGAGCGTAAATTAGTTTTTACTCTATATCACCCTCTTCCACACGACGGGATAAATAAACTAATTAACGTCACGTCTAAAAACAACAACTTTAACTGGGGTAATCTTGACATGGAGCATAAATTATTTTCTTCTCTACTCCACACTCTCTCGAAGCCCATAACTTCTCCCAAATTCATCATGTCTTTCCCTGTTGGCGCCTCGAGCACAGACCAAAACCCACCCATGACAGTTATTAATACCTTGACCCCAGAGCTTTGTTCCTTCTGGTCGAGTAAAGGGCAGAATGACCCTAATGCCCCTGAGTATCTGTTGTATAAGCTAATGACCAGTGTAAGCATTGTGACCGAAGTTCATATACATCCTCTTGTTAGCTGAAGCCGATTTTGATACATTTCCGGTTAATCGACCTTCGCTCGACATGTATGTGTGGACATATGCTTCACCGTGGTTTCCTATGAGACAGGTGGTTTTTAAAAGTGTTACACATTGCTTTTTTGTGAAATTTTTTAGTGCCATTTTTATGATTCGTATAAATTCTTGAAAATCTCTTCATTTCTGAACAGGAATCGTGTCTGCAGACCTTTAAGTTGCCAGAACCCGTTGTTTGTGTTAATGGGGTTTTTCTAATCGAGCTGCTCGGGAGGCCCCAGAAAGACGTAGATGGACTGTATTATATACGGTAAAGTCTCGTTAAATTCTCTAATTTTGTTACTTACTCGGTTATCTGGTTTTATCATTTGGCTCTACTCAAAACTCGTGCTTGCTATACAAAGACTGCGCAAAAACATCATATAGATTAAACGATTATCTTCGTTGATGGGCCCGTTTGCTTTTCTTGATCGATTGGTTGCAGTTTGGGTTATGCGAAAATTATGGGGCAAACTCTGGATACGGCTTTCCATACTGATGTTCACCCGTCAGGTGAGGTTCAGTTGGATTACTATCCTCACTCGGCTGGCTCTGGATTAAGAAGCTTCTCGAGCAAAAATAAGGAAGATATGGCTCGGGAAAACGAGGAGTTGTGCATGGGAATGGCTCGGGGGTTGCTCGATTTTCTTGATGATGAGGATGAAGAGGAGGAGGAGGAGGATAACTGATGAATGTTCATCATTTTGTAATCCCCTATCCAGAATAAGTTTTTTTTTTTCTTTTTCTTTTTTCTTGAATTCAGTATAGGTGTGGTTTTGGGATTATAAGTACAATTCTGAACTTCTTTTTTGTTGTTCTTGTAATAAATATGTTTTGTCACATTTTTTAAAATGTGATGGGTTTGACAATGTGGGGGCATAAAATTGTGAACATGCAATTGAAATTATTTTAGCTTAAAAGGTCCACCTTTAGACAACTGAACCTCATGGGTCAGGCATACAAAATGTTTCAATTAATTAGGAAAATTTTCTTTTGGTCCACCCACCTTATATAATTGGGAGAGGTTCATAGGTCATTTTCAAATTTTCATAGTGCTAACTACTCCCAATTAGTTTCAAGATTCGATTTTGTCATGCACATGAAACACATATGTTATACACATAACATTTTATTCTGTGTCTTTTTAGGCTGTGAGATGAATCATCATGCTCAAATAATCAAACTTCATTTGTAGAAAGATAAATTTACTAAGACCATATAACATACACACAGGCCAAACCATTGATGATTCCATTTAACAAATCACAGTCCATTCACATGGCAAATGCTTTTCTAATTTGGGCAAAAAACAAACCATAAGAAACAAAATTATTAAGTCACTACTGGTAACATTTGCTGTACAGAAAATCCAGCTGTGAATGATTCAAGAATTTGTGTGCTCCTAATAGAAGCCAAGCAATCAACCTTAAAACCATTGAACTCTGTTAGTAACCCTTCATATCTGTTCACGAAGTTTGGTCTATTTATGTAAAAACACCAGTCAACTTGCAAAATTAAGCCAAAAAAACAGCAAAAGGCGCACAAATTAGGTTACAGTACAAATTCATGCAATTCTCACTAGCTGATGATTATTCCTTTGTACACACAGAGATATTTGCCAGTGATTAGAACAAATAAAACCAGAATCAAGAGTACATACATACATACACTACTACTTACTACAATACTACCAACTACTCTGTTTCATTCAGACAATGAAACCCCCAAAACCAACACAACACACACAACAAACCCATAATACAAGTCAATTAACCCCATTCCACAACAAGAACACACACCAAAAGAACCAAGTGAGAAATTACCTTTTACCCCTCCTCACTTCCGGCCGAAAAACCCCTTGAGCCTCCCCCTCTCGAGCCTCTCGAGCAGCTTCTTCGCCCCCGCCACATCCATCTCGCTCAACTTCTTCAGGTACCCAATCGCCCCATACGACACCATCAACTTCCGACACTTCTTGCTCGAGCACAACATTCCAAGGCAAGTCACCGCGTACTTCTTAGCCGTGTTCTGCTGGCTCGGGTCCAACAGCGCCACCAGGCTCGGCACGCTTTTCTCTTCCTTCTTCACCTCCCGACAATTACAAGACACACTCATCAGGCACGAAATTGCGTGGGCCCCGACTTCTCTAGCCCCGTTACTCTTCTCCTCGAGCAACCGAACCAGATTTGGAATGCAGCCTGATTGGCCCACTAACTTCTTCATCTCAACCGAGCTGCTGCTGCTGCAAATCCGCACGATAGCCCAAGCTGCCGCTTGCCGGGCCGTCGGCGAGCCCGATTGGAGTACGTGGGCCAGCCTCGGGATAACCCCACCCGAAACCAAAACCTCGTTCGGTAAAAGCCCGATCAAATTTTTCAACGCCCCGACTGCCGATTCTTGCGGCAAGGGCCCGTCTAAGTACGAAAGCAAGCTGCGGACCCCACCTTCGGAAATCACGGCTCGTCTGAGCTCGTCGTTACCCGACGTGAGACTCTGAAGGCACTCGGCCGCGTGCTCTCTCGACCCTAGCAAAATCCCGCGGTCCAAGAGATCGATCATGACTCGAACGAGGCCCGACTCGACTAGGGCCCGCCGGGCCTCCGGCACGGCGGCCGACACGTTTTTCAACGCGCAAGCGGCCGCAGATTGAGAAACCGAGTCCCCGAATCGGCAGAGCTCAATCAGCGGGCGGGCCCCGCCGTGGCCCACAATCGAACGGGCTGCGTCGGGCCCACGACCGGAGAGCCTCTGAAGAGCGACGACGGCCCGTTCTCGACCGACAGGCCCGCCCGACTCGATTAGTCGGATTAGAGGGGGAAGGGCGCCTTCCGAGACGAGCAAGCCCTCGACGAGACTGCCGCCCGACTCCGCCAGCTGGCACGCGACGGCGGCTGCTTTCTCTCTCATACGCGGCGATGACATGGCGGAGAGTAATTGGACGAGGGCTGAGACGTGGGCCCGCCCGATGTTTGCCAGCACGTCTTTTTCGTCGTCTTTCATGGCCTCGACGAGGGCGTCGAGGGCACGGTGTTTGGATTCGAGGTGACCGATGTGGAGGCGGGCGAGGAGTTCGCGAATGTTATTGGGCCCGTGGGCTGTGGAGTCGGGCTCAGGTGGGCCGGTGGGCCCGCTTGAGGAAAGGACACCGGTTTTGATCAGAAGGTTGCAGTCTCGTAAGTTGAGGTCGAGCCGGCACGTGAGGGAGTCGAGGTCACTCTGCATTCGGAGCTTCCCTTCGAATTTCTCGTTCAGGCAGAGGTCGGCAAGCTCGATTGTTTCGTTTAATGTTTTCGAGACGGATTGCAGCTGCTCCTTACAGAGGGCATTTTTGGAGAAGAAAGGGTGGCTCGACAGATCGGATAATCGTGACGGGATTTGGTCCAATTTCGAGATGATCATTTTCCATCTGCCCGGGAAATTTTTCACCTCTTTGGCTTTTTGGAGTGCTTTTGGGACGAGGGCTTGTGCGCAAGATAGCCATTCCTCGGCGGAGAGGCCATTGTCGGACTGTGAATTCTGCCCATCATCGTCTT